CCTCTTCTGTAAATGATTGCATTTGTAAGCGCGCATGAGTCACTATCCTCATCAGGGACAGGTCGTTCGGGGTCGCGAGAGGTTCAGGCGGCGAGTATGACATCCAGGGTCGCGAACAGATCACGGGACTGTCAAGCTACTCATGAGTAGCCAAAAATAAATAAGAAAAACGAAGGTGGCTTTTTTCGTTCCGCGACGAGAATGATCAACTTGTTAAAACTCTTGTTACAAAAACGAACACAGAGCACAGAGTAAGTAAGATCAACTTCCCTTCAAACTTCTGGCTTTTCGGGAATAACCCAGAGTTGATTCCACGCATTATTCTACTAATTCTTTCCGAAGCGTCACCCTTTTGGTGTACCTTCCATGTAAAACTCTATCACAATGAATTATCCTTTCTCGAAGGAGACGGAATTGATATAATCTCACAAAGTCAGACGATTCTAAGCGACACGTGCATGGAGAATCGGGAGTGGCAGACACCGATCACTTCCTTAATTCTCACCAATATGCTGATGGCTGTTGATTCAGACACCAGTGTTCTTGAAAGAAAATTGAACTATTTTGCTTGTTATATTGTACATGGCTCCAGATATATTAACTTTTGACAGATAAATGCGACAAAAGTCGATGAGACGTGACATTCATTTCGGAGATGGGATAAAAAGCTTCTTGTTTTGCTATAAACGTCAATATGATCAAAAATTTTAAAACACGCAGATTTTTCTTGATGCGTGTGTACAGCTCACTTGGACGAACTTCACACACAGTGTCTTCCCTAAATCTGGTCCTCACTCGAACACTAAGGGTTAAATCCAAACTTCCTGATCTTGTCCATTCACTCGAGTTTTCACAGAATTTCTTTTGATCATATGGTTAGTTGCGTTGCGCTGTTGTTTGATGTTTCAAGAATCGATGCTATAGGATTGGTTGTTGTACCGAAACGCAAGGTTTCGGAGGTACACTGAGCTCGAAACTGTCATCATCGCATCTTGGCCTTGCTCATTAGAATGTCTGGGTAACAGTTCTGTACAAGTTATAACAGGTTCTGTGTGCTTGGATCGGACACATATGTCACCACCAGAACACCTTGCACACAAGGAAACACAGTTTACTCTCCTGGGAAATCAGCGTAGACGCTGGAGATAACGGTCGTTTAGCGACTTGCATTTGCCTGTGTCTCATAAGTTTTCATCGCATTGTTTAACGGTTGGCATCACGTGTTTATAACGCAGCTCGTCAAACCCAATACCGGGAGACTAAACAAGAAATTCAGGTACAAAGCATTATAAGATACCGCTCAATGACGGAACGTTCGTTCTTGTGCACCCGTGTTCGGTGGTCTCCCTCGCACACAGGTTGTTTGTCTGTGTCACATCTCCAAGACAAGCTGACAGACAGTGCATTTAGTATCTCCTGGATCAGTCTCACCCAAAAATTTTCGTATCGGAGTGACGGGAGGTTGTACTCCACATTCGGAGTATCTACTACACACTCGCATTTCCGAGATCGGACAGAACCCTTGAAACGGACGTCTGCGTTGATAAAAACAGGCGATGATTTCTGACTACTTGAAAAGACTATAGTAGCCAAAAAGTTACGGGAAAATTCAAGCGGCCCTACATCGGTAGAAAACATGGGTGCTAGCAGCTTCTGTGAAAGTTGTGGAGGCATGCATCAGTCCGCGTGAAATGACTGGCCGTATGTGAAATAATCCCATTTTACATCAGATGACGTGGGATATCTTCCTGCTCTAGAACAAATTACTGCTGTGTCCCAGGAGACAGTATGTTCTGGGCCAAACAAAACCATTTTTCCTCTTGTAAACTTTCCAACTCAGAATTCCCATTTTTAGTGAGAAACAAATTTTTTTCTGGACCCACCTTTGAGGAATCGAATAATGAGGTTTTTTGAAGGTTTCTGAATACCGTCTTGACCGGTTTCGCCTGCAGTTCCCTGCATCAAACTCATTGTCTTCATAAACGAAGTCCTCCTCCATCTGTCACTCTTGAAGAATTGATCTCCCATTTGGACAGAGTGCTCTCATCTTTCCTGTGCTATGAACGGGTCTTCCGTTCAAACTAGCCCGTTCAAGAAGGCGAAAGTGAGGAGTTGAAGGGGTAAGTTTCAGTCGAGATTTGGACCTGAAAATGGGGTCGATATATGCAGAAAAGCCAAGAAGCGCTGTACATCTGTTTCAGCATCGATGGGACTCATCATTAGTGCGCATCTCACGAGACTCCGAACAGTTTCGACTCAGATAGAGGTTATACACTCTATGAGGTACTGCTCTGCCCCAAACACTAGCCATCATCGGGTCACGTGATATGGATCTGCGCCGCTGTGGTTGTGATTGGAGTTGCAGCAGCTATCACGGAATACACCAACCTTCGCAACAACACTTTATTGCAGTTTAGCACCTCATTATTATTGACTGAGAGATACCTGAGACATTGAGACGATTGGTGCAATGGAAATCATTCACTCAGCCTAGAGAGTGATAGATAGATAGGTTGAGCGACTCAGGTCAGGTAAGATGCAGAGCGATCCCTTGCGGATCTTAAGCTGTGCGCGGAGATTCTTGTAACTCAGGTGCAAAACGGACAAGTCAGTGGATATACGAATCAAGCGAGCTTTCTATATATGCATGTTGTGCGCCCTTGTCCCAGCCGTTGACGCATCAAGTACAGAGTTGCTGAGGGGTTATGTAGTGGAATGTGCCATTTGGTTGTTTCTCCGTACAGAAGCAACAGTTCTATGGTAGATAGAGTGGGAAACGAACAGTAAGCAGGATAAACAAGGTACTGCATTGATCCCCAGCTGCAATTATGTGTCCATCTACGGGACTCTAAACAACAAGTTGTGGGGAAACTACCCGAGTGTGGGCCTACTCATTTTCCATTCCACTCAGACTCGTTTTCCTCAGTACCCATCAATCTATTCTGGAAAGCCGAACAGCACTTTACAGCTGTTTCGTCCTTACTGAGAATCATCAGCAATGCGCATCTCACGAAACTCCAGGGAGCCTGGACCCTGCCGGCTAATGGTTTCAACAGCTAGCGTCTCGGCCTCGAGCAGTTTGATTAGCTCTCATATAGACAGGACATAGTGCTATTTAGCCTTCATTTTCGGAAACCACATCACTTGACCGCTTATTGGCTGGCTCCGCGAGTGACGACTTTTGATTTGAAAGTTCTTGTGAGACTATTCTTCCGAGGCACTTATAGAATGATGGTAATGTGGAGCATTCGTATCTTCGGAATCAACACAAGCAGATAGTAAACGGTGGGTGGCCGGCCCACTTTCACAGCTTTAGTTGTTTTTCCCAGAGGATGTTAGAGGCAGGGCGCGGTTGCATCGGGTCACGTGATATGGATCTGCGCCGCTGTGGTTGTGATTGGAGTTGCAGCAGCTATCACGGAATACACCAGCCTTCGCAACAACACTTTATTGCAGTTTAGCACCTCATTATTATTGACTGAGAGATACCTGAGACATTGAGACGATTGGTGCAATGGAAATCATTCACTCAGCCTAGAGAGTGATAGATAGATAGGTTGAGCGACTCAGGTCAGGTAAGATGCAGAGCGATCCCTTGCGGATCTTAAGCTGTGCGCGGAGATTCTTGTAACTCAGGTGCAAAACGGACAAGTCAGTGGATATACGAATCAAGCGAGCTTTCTATATATGCATGTTGTGCGCCCTTGTCCCAGCCGTTGATACATCAAGTGCAGAGTTGCTGAAGGGTTATTCCGTACAGAAGCAACAGTTCTATGGTAGATAGAGTGGGAAACGAACAGTAAGCAGGATAAACAAGGTACTGCATTGATCCCCAGCTGCAATTATGTGTCCATCTACGGGACTCTAAACAACAATTTGTGGGGAAACTACCCGAGTGTGGGCCTACTCATTTTCCATTCCACTCAGACTCGTTTTCCTCAGTACCCATCAATCTATTCTGGAAAGCCGAACAGCACTGTACAGCTGTTTCGTCCCATGCTGAGAATCATCAGCAATGCGGATCTCACGAAACTCCAGGGAGCCTGGACCCTGCCGGCTAATGGTTTATACAGCTAGCGGCTCGGCCTCGAGCAGTTTGATTAGCTCTCATATAGACAGGACATAGTGCTATTTAGCCTTCATTTTCGGAAACCACATCACTTGACCGCTTATTGGCTGGCTCCGCGAGTGACGACTTTTGATTTGAAAGTTCTTGTGAGACTATTCTTCCGAGGCACTTATAGAATGATGGTAATGTGGAGCATTCGTATCTTCGGAATCAACACAAGCAGATAGTAAACGGTGGGTGGCCGGCCCACTTTCACAGCTTTAGTTGTTTTTCCCAGAGGATGTTAGAGGCAGGGCGCGGTTGCCCTAGCAACTCTGGGCAACTAACTGAAAAAACTACTCGCTGGATGTTCGTGAAGCACAGTCACAAATATTTATTTATTTGTTTGTTTGTTTGGCTGACACTTCCCCTTTGTATGAAGAAGCGTGGGAGCTCCCATCAAGCGTTGTTGTTGTCGTTGTTGCTCGCGTTGATTTGCTAGCCCTGCAGAGACACACATGCAGACACAATAACTCGGGTTTGCAAGTCACATTACCGCCGCTGCTGTTGGGATGAACCGACCAATCAGGATGGCTGGGGGCGGTGGAGGGTGAAACTGCTCTGTGTGTCTGTCTGTCTATCTATCTTATCCTCCAGTTATTTAGTGATCGGAATTTCATTCTCACCCGACGGCAATTTGTCGTCAATCGATGGTGTTACACGTGCATTCATCGCCGTCCGGTAGCATCCCCTAGACGCGATGGTGTATATATAAACAGAGGTTAACGCGTGTCTGTCTCAAGCGTCGTAATTGATAAACCCAAGCGCAGGCAGCGTGGACTGGATCGTTACAGTATGGACATATGAGCCACGAAATTAAAAAGGTTGGGAATTCAACCGAATGTAATTGTTGTACACTTGATTATCGTGCGGACGTGTCAGTAGGCGCGGAATGATGCAGCAACCACTGAATGAGTGGGGGGATGCCGGCGGTGAAGTTGCATACATCATGTGCAATGCTCCCGGTGGTATGGAAACGCTTGGCGTGCGCACTTTGCCAAGGCTGCGATATCATAGTGCGGATTCACAGCGTACTAGACACCTGACACCACCAGGACCACCCTTCTTGCTCCCAAGTACTTCATACCCTACAGTGGGAGGTTACCCGGGACATTGGTTGGATCGAGCTTCTACCTGCAGTCAGACAGGGGATTGGTTGCCAAGCAAGATGCTCCAACCATTTGGCACCGCATCAGTTTACTCAAACCCAAACTCACCGTCAGTGTACTTTGGACCGCAACATCCAAGTGCTATACTGCACACTACGCAACCGGATTACACAACGGATATTTCGACGATTTTGGATCGAAATCGATCTCGGTTATCGAGCCAGTTCTACACTTCGCCTGTTTATTACCATCGTCCAGTTACATCCATCCCACAACGGTTTGCATATGCTAAACTAACAGAGCCATCCTCAAGTTCGACCACAACCGGTCCTACCTTGCACCCCTTATCCAGGACTTGTTTTCCCGTTCCACCTCAGTATTCTCCATCACGTCGTCAAATATCGCAAAGTTCGCAACATTTCTCTCCTTCTTCTGCTCTGGTTCGAACCATTGTGCGTCTGAATACCACATCGTCTATGGAGTCTCGGACCAATTATTCAAGAACCCCTCATCCACCACCTCCTCCTCCGGCGCCACCACCACCACCACAATACTCAGCTGAAATTCCACCAGCGGTACCTGCTAGGAGGCGGTCACACGGCCCACGAAGAGCCACTCAAAGTCTTCGTCGTTTTGTTCCGCTTGTAACGTCACCTGATGATTATCAATCACCCACGGTCAGCACTGATTTGGACGCTTGTGCTCCTGGAGCCCTGTCGGATCCGACCAACACTTTGCCTCCTCCACCACCCACGTATCCCCGCACTTTCAACCTGGAAAGTCACTTGGATTGTTCTTGTGACTATGTGCGTGCTGATCCGGGTCTGTGGCCAGCCGAAGTTTGGTACGAACGCAATTTCCACACGGTGGATCGCTGCACATGTCCGCATGATGAAGTACATCGATACTTTGATAACGCTGCTGCCAGTTGGAAGCTGGCAGACACGATTGCGATGCTGCCGCTTCGTGAAACAGAAATCATCGATGACCTTGTTGATAGTACAAGTGAGGATGAGGAGGAAGAAAGTAAAAGACTGGAGGAATTCGGGCAAACTGAGGAGAAGAAGAACGCTGATGGGAAAAAATCACCCGCCAGACATCCACAGTCTGACTCCGCCACTTTGAGTAGTGAAGGGACAGAAAACCGACAGATGGATTCATCCGATGAATTCTCGAAGGACCTCATCAACAAAGAGCATTTATCAGACAGTAGTTCAAAACGTCATGAGTTGTCTTCAAATGTCTGCAAGGAGGACCAAGAAGAACCTTTGACTTTGGAGGATCTCGTCCCCTCAAAGGGCTTGGTTCCGGACAGCCTCAAAGATTCACCTTCTCTTCGACTAACCACTCTTGAAAGAATGTCCAGCGAGACACTGGCTGTCCGCACCAATGAAAAGCCATCTCCTTCGCGCACCTTACATAAACTAAGTTCCAGTGACTCTGGGTGTTCATCTGGTCTAGATAAAAAAGCTTTACCAACTGCTGAGCAAAACGAATGTATATCCCCTGGCCCTGTTCTCGCAAAGACCGGGGACCAGCATGAGTTGGAAACGCGACCACATGTAGCGCAGCCCCCTTGTGAGATGGACAATGATATGAAACAAGTAAAACCAATTTCTCTAGACCATGAGAAAAAACGTACAAAAACTGAGCGGATACCAAGCGACTCTAGTCAGCGTGAGAATGGTGCTGCAACCTTATCAATATTCAACAATGTGAAACCAGATTTCCGGGGTCCATACAAACCAGCGATGAGCGCGGTTCGTTCTGATAGTCAGCCTGAACAAGGCTTAACAGCGTTTGTTGGACACCTCCAAGTTGAAAGCGTAGCGGCGGCGTTAGACAAACTGCATGTGGGTATGCGTAATGTAATCGAAGGAAGTCTGGATAAAATAGCGGCGTTCCAACAGAGCCTTGTTGAAGATAATAAACCTTCTGTGGTGACACGTCAAACGTCGGTCTCGCGTGCTCAGTCTGTGGAACCAGCAGACGGACACACAAAGGCATCCGATGCTACGATAAACAACGAGGCCGAACCGGAGCTGGATTTAAAAGAACCTGAATCCGATTTGGACCTGAATGAATGGCTGGCAGATTCAAACGATTCCAGTCTGAGTGATTATCCACCGGAGATGTCCGAGGGGGAGCTGGAAGATATGAGGGAACATCGAGGGCGTCGCTATCCACCTCGCGACAAACCAGTAGGAGAAGAATCAGCTTCACCCGAACGAGATTCGGACCGCTATTTGCCGCCATTTGCCACCAGTAGCCATGAGGCAAGTCACACGTGTACTTCGTCTACAAAGTCTTTTGACCAGAAACCCGTCCGGGAGCAAACCGATCCCCATCAGCGTGCCCTGAGACGATGGGCTATTCTGCGTGAACATGTGAATTCTATTTTGGAACGCGTAAGTTTATAATTTGTTGTTTTATTGCTAACCAAGTTTGAAGAATTTGCCTAAGGAGATGTGTGCTCACCACATGTGTCAGTTATGCACCTGTGGTATCGTTTCCATTGGCGTTTATCGGTCGAAGATGCAAGGCATGCGGCATTAGTCAAAGTTGTTCAGTGAAATCCGGTACTCATGGTTCAGAGGAGCTGGCCAACATCACAGATTTTCTAGTCAATACTTTTTCTATGCACAAAGTCAGCCTCGACTTACCGCTGGGAATCCCTTGATTCCGGGCTAAGTAAAAAGGGGAGACCCATGTTGGTGGTCCTTTTTGGTAGTGAGCGCTTACAGGACGAACTCGAAAAGGTTCTCTTGGAAGCTTTCCGTTGAGAAGCGACCGAACGTGTCTTAAACCTATACCACATTCACATTCAAAGTAGGGTCACTGACTGTACCTAAACCACCTTGGTTGAATGTTCCTCCATTCTATTGTATTGTATGGCTCTGAGCCTTCCTAGTACTATACAGGCCGTTTATCCCTCGAAGATAAAATCGGTTTCCTAGGACGACCAATTTAACCTGTTTTGTGAAAAGTATGGTGCTGTTGCGTTTGTGTAAGTGTTTGAAACAACTGTTTCCACAGAGGAGGTAAACAGAGGCTTTCTGGGAGGGCTAAACGTAACTCCTAATCAGATCACCGATACATATAGACCCAATGTTTCGTGTTTTATCGGGTAATACACAGCTTGTGAATCCTTTCCCCTTGATAACTTCGGTTTCATGCATCTTTCAAGGCATTTCGCTGATTCAAATTCTCCGCAATCGATTTCTCATTGATTCTTGCTAGTTTGGCTGGGCTGCATGACTTACGTTCTTAAGTCGGTCCAGCTCGCCGATCTAACCATAAGGGAGTTTCTTAAGTCGGTCCACGTTGGTTTTGTAATGCATCTAACAGTTAGTTTTAAGATTAACAGGTCTGTTCTGTCAATCCAAATGTCACGGCAACTGCAGTAGAGAAAATTTTGGGTAGAATCACGTGTTCTGACAATCAGTCTGCAGCCTGATCCCCTGGTGTTTGAGGTGTAGTGTAACTAATCAGCTGGATTTGCTTGATTCAACACCAATACAACCTGTCGGCGAGTATTGTTGACAAGTGGCCGCTGCAGGCAAATAACCTTTCCGTCTATGGAAACTGTGTAAGTCTCTTCATGTGGTTTAAAGGTCGTGCCGTGAAGCAAGACAAACGTCTCGGAATGAGCGTCTGTCTCCCACCGCAGCGCTGTTATACGGAAGTAGTTTGGCTAAAAACCGTTATCGTCTACACCAATCATACACAGCCAACCCCTATAGTGCCTATTTCGGGTAGGTCTCTTCCAGTCTCGACTAGGTTCCAATTGTACATGTACCCCAACACCAAAATGGTGTTCAGAATTCATCTCCACAGAGCGATTATTGTCCCCCGACTCAATGGACAGTTGACATGCAAGTATTCGTCTACGTTGGATTGTTACCGAATTCTTTAAAGGAGCAGACTGGAGTTGGCAGGCTGAAGTGTTTGGGCAATGTACCACGTATGTCTACTGAAGAAAGCGTCATTTTCTGTTTCCAGCGATTGTTTGAAAATGGTTCGCGAGGGGTGGGGCAAGTCATGACATGAAACAAAAGAGACTACTGTCAATGAATGATTTAGGGTCTTCGCACCTTCCTGGTATGGGCTCACGTGATCCTGCTTGCAGGTGGTTAGACCTTACAGGATGTGGTACGCAGTCGATCTCGGTGGTACGCTGGCTGACACTTCCTCGCCGGACTGCCAGTTAAAGTTTTCTTTTCTTTGTGCGCCTGACCTATCTCGCGCGAGTTTCCCACATGAAGCTGGGGTGATCTAGATGATGGTACCTTACTCTGACATGCTGCTAAGATGCGTTTGTTTCAGTGCTTTCTGAAAGTGTTGGCATCTTACCCTTGGGCATTTCTCTTAAAGGCATAGAGTTTCTTCGCACCAAGTCCTTACCCTTTCCTGTTCTTTCCACTCTTTACTAAGGCATTCTCCCCCCTGTGGTTTTACTACAGTTCATTAAATCGTGAAAAAAATCACAGGAAATTGCGAATCCAGCTAAATTTCTAGTGGATGTTCTTCTTCAACTGATTATGCTGCAAAAAGGCCTCTTCATTCTACACGCTAATTCTTCGAAAGTCCACGACCGGTTTCACTGTTCTTCTTAGAGCTCATCACTAAGGCGCGGTCTCCAAGTTCCCATCAACCGCATGCTCTACTTACAAACTTACAAACTTACTTACAAACTTATTTGGGGATCAATTGAGTCTCCTGTGCCCGACTTCAACGGCGAGTAGGTTGTCACTTTTCCGTCAGACTCGCTCATCATTAGAAGTGAGGATTGTTTTCCTTGAGGTTTGAGGAAGATTTTGTGTCTCGCTCCATCATGATAAAAAATTCTTTGCGCACTGTTTTCCGTAAACCTAATGCAGGCACTTACTCCAGTCTTGTTGCTGCCAGCCATGGGACTGCCTTCAAAGGGCGAGCAAGACATTGTTCATTAAGTCTTGTAAAGAAGAACTCAAACGGGATACAATTTCGTGTCTTGTAGAAGCAAGCTCAACGAAGTTGAAACCGGATATGAGTATTCGAGAGATACACTCATTTGCAAATCAATTTGGTTTTCGCGAGAGACTCAACTGAATCTCTCGTTTATGATATTCTACAACTGAATGTGCTGCACACAGGCCGCCTCATGATTCAGTTGGCACGATATCCGAGATATCGCAGTATATCTTCATAAAGGTTGCTGAAAACTCTTCGACAGTTGAAGAGTATGAATAGCTTCGCTTGGTTTTGCCGAATTTTAAGCAGCGTAGAAGTCTTGGCTCGCTCCCGCCGAGACAACTTCGTGGGTTCTGTATGGAACGCGTTGCTGAAATCTTATGAAAATACTGCAGGGAACGCTGACTGCAAACTCTTGTAGGGTTTGAGCCATTCTTCTGTTGGACGAAGGGTATTGAAATCTGACAGGAGTAGCGATTTAGTACTTCAACCTGTGACTCAGTTGAGACAAGAATAAAACACTGGAACAGTTGATACTGAACAGACTCATAATTCGAAAAAGTTACATTATCTTTTTCCGAATTCCGAAGCTTTACAATCCCGTTCATACGCATTTTTCTGTCAGTTTTGTGCATTACCATAATGCGTTCCTCACAGTCCTGGAGCCAGTTCACCTTTCGAACGTCAAAAAGTGTTAATCAGCTGTCCAAAATATACTCGGTCGTTAACGAAGTTCCTCAGTACCATCAAGCAAACTGCGAGATGTTTTTGAAAGAGTTGACGGCTCAGATATTTGTTGTTCATACTTGGAGTTGATGAGTAGCGACGACTAATTATCTGTGGCAGTAAGTTGGATCAAGGCACATTTTTGCACCTCCACTCACGGGGGGGGGCGGTGAGTTACGACGGCCATAGTTAAGGGTCACGTGATTTAAGAAGATCAGCGACACAGGACTTGGTTTTTACTATGAAAAACCATCCATTTGGCTTAACGAGAGAGAATAACCGAAAGCACCGTGTCTCCCAGGCTAACAGTACAGTTGCCAGCGCGATCCAATTTTCGTTCATTCTCGTTCCAAACGAGCCTACTGTAAAATGAGCAAATTGAAAAACTACGGTCACAGCGAAATTCTCTTATAACGCGATCTGACCAACAGAACTATATCATGTGTATCTTTGTAATGTACTATTCATAAGGTTGCTAAAAATCCGTCGACAGCCCACGACCGGTTTTGCCCTTTTTAGGGCTTATCAGGTAGGCGCGGTCCCCGGGTTCCCGTCAACCTTATGTTCTACTTGAAACCAAATTGCACTATATATATAGTGATATATATATATATCTATTGCCTAAGAACATGCTGGAGTCTGTATGACGAACCATTGCGTAAGTTGCTCCGAATAAATGTTCTCAACTCTTCTTTCAGTTCTCCCGACATAAGTTCCATCGCAGCTGCAGATGAATCGGTTAGGCACAGTGACCTTGGTTGGAGACAGTAGGATTTTTCACACGTTGCACGTGTAACTGCCTCAGAGCCACACCCACAGTCTATGCTTAAACAACACTTGTGTGCAGGGTGTCTCATAATAAACGCAAAAAATAATATCCATGACAAAACTTTGACATGAATTAAACATTTATCATTTTTCATGTAAACATACATGCGTTATGGAGGTTTACTGTAAACAAACTGGCATTACAAGAAATGTTGAAAAAACCGCCCTTTTCTTCTATAACAAGTTGGAGGCGGGATGAGGTGTGCAGGGTGTCTCATAATAAACGCAAAAAATAATATTCATGACAAAACTTTAATATTAACTAAACGTTTATCATTTTTCAATTGAACATACATACATTATGGAGGTTTACTGTAAATAAACTGGCATTACAAGAAATGTTGAAAAAAGCGCCCTTTTCTTCTATAACAAGTTGGAGGCGGTATGAGCATGTTTAATTTCTTCAAGCGTCACTCGTGCACACTCCTCTTCAACTCTTTCTCTTAACTCCACCAAATTCTTCGGTTTATTTTCATAATATACGTCTCATAATACGATGCACGCGGGGAAAGCCGGTCAACTGAGACACCTGAGTTATTGACGAAGATGTCATAGTGCTCTGGGACTGAAGTTGCTCGACGGCATTCTGTAAAATAGACGCTCTTTCATCACTCAGAGAATTTCTCCCCTTGCCAGAAAAATCCACTGCAGATCCAGCGGACTCAAATCTCGCAATCAAGCGTGTGATGGTTGACACGGTGAAAGAATCTTCGATGAGACCATGTTAGGTTTTGTAACCGCGAAGTGCAGCGATGGCGCTTTCACCAAGGGAATAGTAGAGTTTCACAATTTCAATGCGCGTACCGACATCCATCGTAGACAAAGAAATGCCAATACTCACTTACAAAACCTCCTTTATGTGGCTACTAATAATCCTAATCCTCTGATTGGCCACGTTTAGTCACCCAATCAA